TTCGTTTAAACAGCACACGCCGAGCGACGATGACTGAAACTTCCTTCCATAAACACATAAAGACTTCCTCATCAGCGTTTGCTCATTCAAAGTGCGTAAGCAAATTGTCTGTTGTGCCAAAGAGTTGATTTCTTTTTTCCGGAACCTGTGACGAGCCTCTTGTATGAAATAGCAGTAAGAGGCAAATAGAGAGACATCTGTGATACCATTTTTTCACAAGTCGAAAAAGAATCCTTTTTCAGCTGATCGACCGTTGGAACCTATGGACCTGTTCAAGAAGAAAACGGCTTTGAATGGAACATGAACTCGATAGACTGGAAAAACGTAAAATAATAAAAAAATGTAAAAATAATAAAAATAAAGTATAACTAATCAGATCGTATGGAAGTGAGAGTCATGTGAAGCGCTCGAGAAGTATTTTAGTAATATTAGGGTATGTGTATACGAAGTATGCTGAGTTTTTGGGAGATTTCTTCTCCAAGTCTATTAAGTATATTTTGGTTGCCTTTGGCCTCGCACCAGCTGCAGGCATTGTAATCAACAACGTATGAATAACTGGGTTTAGTTTCTAAGGAAATTGTGGTGCCGCGTCGATGAGGGGTACAACGAGATAATTTGGTTTTTTAAATCCAACTGCACAAGGTAGAGTTCAAATAATGCGAATGTATGTATATACCACATGTATACAGTTGGTTATTTTATACTGTAAAAAAACCTGTTTAACCGGTCGGCTACGCACGCTGCGCTTCTCTATCCACTTTGCTTTTCCCGCCTTATGAGAAATGAGCAGAAAGACATGGCGAATAAAAAGCAGTTGGATCATAAATAACCTACTAGACTATTCATTGGTTTGTAGTATTGCCTAGTACTTTCACTCCTTGTTTGAATTTGACGAGCCTGTGGGTAAAGTCAAAATACGGCACAACTCATAAAAATATTCAGGTATGCCACCGCCAGATAAAGAAAATCCGAAAAAATCCGCAAAAATCACCATGAATCTTATTTCGCAAGATGATCATCTCGCAGCTGGAGTTTGGGCTGCCTGTGGTGTGAGTTCAGACAAGGTGAAGTAACGCGATATTTTCCTCCGTTTGAAGGTCATGCTCTTTTTCTGTTACAAAAATGAAAACATTAGGTACACAAAGTGTCCCATCTCAACCCACCCATGCTACGTATACCTATGTTCTTATAGATGATGTCATGGATCAGGGGGCTGTGCACAAAGAATAACATTAACCAGAAATCTTGGGCTCATTTGATAAGCGTGGTGGTTTGTGGTCTTCGCAAGAGCCTCGTTGATTAAGGTCGAGATTTATCGGGACATGAAAGTTTCGCATTTCATTTTTTGTATTATTTTTAAGTCAAACGTGTTTTTACGGCTCCTTTACGCGCAACGAACACGCCTAACAACTCACGTTCCATCACGTACCATAAAAACAACGTCCAAAGTCCATTAGAATATACCCAATCATTGCACTACGTGAACATTAGGCAATTTTTCACGCGCTTGAATTGTATTCCATCAACCAAATTCGCATCTACGCGCGCCCGTGTATTATTCACTATTTATGACTCATTTCCTCGGGAACGTTCACAATGCGTCATCAACTTTTGGTTTTCCTGAGAATGTCACGCAATGGTAAAAACATCATTACGGTCGTGAAACAAAAAGTGAGTCATTTGCATCATTTCGGTGGCAGCGAGAAATTTCTAACGCTCGCCATTCCCAGCTCGAAGCATTGCTTCTAGGTTATCCCGAGCTAAATTTCAGAGGAAAAAAATCAAATATTCCTACGTCGTGAGACCACTAGGAAAAGAGTACCCTCTCGACACCGTTCGTGTTATAAGTCACCTTCTGAAGAACTCATCCAAATAACTTCGGTCTTGCAAAATTTTACAAATTTAACAGGTTCTTAAGGACGAATTCAACGCTCCATCGCTGACGAAACGTCGTTTTAAGGTAAGCTCTGAAATAATTAATTAGACCAAGTGGATTTTTGTCTCACCCACTCGCAGTGTTCCATCAATAACATTGCCAGTTTGTATTAACAAAGAAAAACTTATTACATGTAAAATATAGGCAATCCGGTATGAGGCGTGGGGTCTTGGTTTCATATAGGTCTTTCAGCAAAGTGAGCCGGCAACAACACACTAGGCCATATGATCGCAGACAAGAGCAAGTTATGAAAATGTTATCGATCTAAAGTGCTGTGTCCCTGCTTACTATATTTTTTTAGAAGAATATTTAGTGAGAACCGAGAAAACTGAGTGTTACGAGATAATCTGAAGCCTTTTTCCTTTTTATTTTGATTATAAACTACCGTCTACGTGTTACATCCTGTTCGCATTATAGAAATTGAAAGAGGAAGCAGTTGTCACAAACACACGTTTCGAGGGGAAGATGTAAAACGTTCCTTGCTTATTAAATGATACAAAACTTGGCAGATATTTTCAGTCAGAGAAAAATTTAAGGCGACAAATCAAAATACGAATTCTTTAACACATCATTTGACTTCTTTTGAAAAAATGTAGGTTATATTAAGAACATAGCGTAACTGAATATTTATCAGCACACCTGTAGAAAATGAAAATAAGCTGAAATCCAGCTCACACATAGATTTTGGAATAAATGATCGTCTTCTTTGCTCTTTTTTTTTTGTCCTGCATAAATTAACGAGTGAACCACATGCTCCTCGTTCTTGTTCGTCATAACTCGAGTCGGAAATTGAACGAAAATTTGAAATGAGATTGCCTAATTGCATTTGCTCGTTCCACATAAAATCATGAGTGCTACCCGTTGGTGATTTTCATTGAAGGCATTCTGGATGGCGAATATTTATGTATTAGTTTAGTTTGAAATGAAAGAAAGAAATAGATCCTGAACGATCTTGGCAGGAAAATTTTGAAGATCCGTAAAGATCTTGGCAAGAAAATTAAAGATCTTGGAAAGAAAATAAAAGACCCCTGAAGATCTTGACAAGAAAATGAAAGATCCTTGAAGATTTTGAACATTTATTTTTTATCCCACACATTTCTTTATAATTGTTTCTTGGCCAAGGCCTGGAGAGGTCAAGTATGATCGATATCTCGGATTTCTGTTTATGGGAAACTACCTTGTCGTCTCAAATAGAGTGAATTAATACTTAGAAACGAAATTACCATCAGAAAAGCAAGAAGAAGGAGGCAGTAGGGGAGGGGGTGTGCAGATTTTTGGGATATGTATATTTCTTTTTATTTTGCTTCCCTGACCTAGTCTGCTGATTACAAATTTTATTTCGCCGATTAAATTCCATTTTGCCAAATTAAACTTCGCTCCATCACGTGTCATTTCCTTGTAAACAATCTGCATTTAATCACGTATTCTAATCGCAATCTCCAACCCCACTGGAAAAAAATTCACACTAACTGCTACCGATAGTGATCTTTTAAGGCAATTCTCCCGTGTTTTGACTTTTTCTACGAATAAACTCGGCTTTTAACTACCTTGAACTTAATCCAATCGCATGTTTATTCCTTGTAAACAACCTGCATTTTATAAAGTATTTCACACACAGTGGGCAAAGTCCAGATAGGCAACAACCAATCAAGGAGCCCTCTCTCAAATATTATCCTTTTCTCTTGTGAAATGTATCTTCATTGGTCGAGATGGCAATATATCTTTGGTTAGAGTCTATTAGAGATATAACAGAGTTTCAGTTTGATTTTCGTAGTAGAATTACATGGAATTATATTTTTCAGGCATCTAACTGTAGACGAATAATTTTGATTTTCTCTCTGGTAGTGGAACGGCAGTAAGCGTGGTCTCTTTCGCAACTATTATTTGGTCTCATCACGCTACGCGCTCTCTCTCCGTCTGGCTTTCGAAAATGTGATCTACACTGTACATGTATCTAAGGCTATTTTGAATTCCAGAACAATTGATTTCCTTGTGCCTCTACATTTCTTGAAATTTTTTGTACGTGAAGATAGCCAGCAAGGATTTTATGATATTTGAAAAACAACTAGTCTGGATTATCAGGATAGTTAAAGTTAGCATCAAAGACAAATCAATTCTGAGCACAAAACAGGGTAAACATGAAATGATTTCAAAAACAACTAGTTTAATATACATATACTGGTAAACCACAAACATCAGCACCTGTACCAAATTGAAATCCATATCAACATACATCAGCATACATTAGTGTATATATTTCATTGTTTTTCCTGTCATAAGTGTCCATTTGAACTAGATAAGAGTGTTGTGTTAGATTTGTTTACAAATTGTAGTGATTTATGCCTCGATATGCCAATAAAAGGTGGCGACAAGTAGGCGCACCATGTATATTTCATAGTCGCTAGCAAGTAAATTTTGCCGGACTTTGAGTTCGTCTCACAATAGAACAACACAATTGCACAAGAAAATTTTTACAATAACTTTATAACCATCCTTTTGTCTTTTAAAAGCTAGAAGCTCAGTAGATTTTGTCCTATCGGTCATTGTTAAAACTGTCTTTGTTTTGATACTACTTTTCGACATAGAAAAAGTATGTCGGACAAAAATATTTACCAAAAAATAAATATTTCTTTGCCATCCTCAATAATGTCAGGGGATTAAGTTGAGTTGATAAAACAAAGGATTATGCCGACAGAAATACCGGAGGTCAAGTAAATTCGTTACATGAGGTCACACAACTCGGGTAATATTCAGAGTGAAAATTTGCATATTTGAGCGGTCCAACGAAAAACATCATTTCTCAAAAACTAAAATGTATTTTCATAAAAATACTACACCACAATTATCAGGACATATTGGGCTACAAAATATGAAAGTAGGAGAGAAAACAAATTTGGGTGACTTGCCGCCGTTTGTCTGATGCATGTTGACATTAGCTCTTAATTGGCTTCTGATTTTGTGTCTATGTATCCCTCCCATTCTCAGAAGGGAAAAAATATTTATTTTGCAACTGGGTAATATGTTGAGCTGATGTTTATAAACATTTGCAATCACCTTTTTTCAGGCTAGGATGACTTAAAAGAACAACTTTGTAAGAAGCATCAGTCTTCTTACAGTTGCTATGGCTACAGGAAGAAGTTCAATTAAAGTTCCATGTGAAAATGAAGACTTACCTGACAAAGAAAATGCACCAGATTTTGACGAGGACACTTTACGAGGTGAGCTAGGTTCAACTTCGGCTTCAGTAATTGTTAGGACAATTTCTATTCGATCAGGATCAGTTTCAAGAATGCAAGCAGATGTGGAAAAGGATATATACAGTGTATGACCACTTTAAAGGATATTTGGCCAATCATGACTCTCTTCTATGATTACAATATGCTGTTCATTGGGAAGATCTATGACACAGAAACTTTTGCTATTTTCTTTTCTAACAGTTCAAAGCAATAACACAAAGTTATAATAAGTTAAGACTTTATTTGATCATCATATAACATCCATTGTGTAAGTTTGCATCATAGGTACCATCATCATCATCATCATCATCATCATCACCATCATCTTTCTATTTTAATGAAACATAATCACTTTGAAACCTTCAACATTCCCTCCCTTCTCCTCGAGCAACCCACAGGCATTTGATCTTCATCCAAGCCAAAGAGGGTGGGGGGGGGGGGAGGGGGTTTAACCCTGCCTGACTGGCGTTAGGGAATTTGAATAAAAACTGTCACATCTAATTTCCAGTAGAGTACAAGTGTTAATTATCATTGAATATGGAGGTGTTTAAGGTAGATAGTGTACTTTCACTAACAGATGGTTCAGAAGAAATAAGGCTTCAAGATCTAGGTTTTAAAGCTTGGTCAATTAGTTTTTAAAGCTTGATCAACTAGTTGAAAGTCAAATTGCTAATTATTTCGCCTTTTACATAAAATTGTGTGGGGCATTTGAATGTTTTATTAATTTTGCCCAGGGAATGGGAATTTTAGGAAACCTATCTCCAAAAATTTAAATGCCCAGGGGTTTGCCTCAAGTTGAGTGATGCTTAATTCTCATTGTTATTCTTACCCATGATGTCACCTACATCATTGGCATCATCATAACTATTGAAAATCTTGGCAGCTCTGATTATACACTAATAATTATTAACTACGACCACAGACTTTGACACCTATTTTTAATTTTTTTTTTCGAATTATTTTATTTTTTCTTTGCAGCCACAGCTGATGTTTATAGAAATGAGGGTAATGAGGCCTTCAAGAAAGGAGATTTCATCAATGCTATTCATTTTTACACCAAAGGAATTAAAATGAACTGCAATGAGAAAGAACTGAAGGCCAAACTGCACAACAACAGGGCTATTGCACATTCTAAACTTGGTAAGATGATGAGAGCTTTAATAGGCATTTTTTTTCTATTTTGAAGCTATTGAGTTGTCAGTAGTAGTTTTCTGAAAAAGGTGATAATTTTGAATGCATGCCCGGAAAAATTTACATCTTATCTTGGCCTCTCAAATATACAAAGAAGTAACCTCTTACCCCAGATATCAACGAGCATCACAAGTTTTTCTCAAAATTATAGTAATGGTAGTTGGTTTGCAACATGTATGGCTAATCAGAGATATTTATTTCAATAACAGGAAATCACCAGGATTCACTAAGGGATGCAGAAGCAGCCATTGAGTTAAATCCAACTTTCCTTAAGGCAATTGTGAGAGGTTAGATATGTTAGCTATACTATAATAATAATAATAATAAAAAAAGAACTCAACACTCTAAGGTTAAATGAGGTTAAATGGAGTTCAATCTTGTCTCAATGGACTTTAATTAAGAGGTCGAGACCACCCTGATGTACATTTGAATCCAGCTCTTGACTGCTACGCCATTACTTTCCATTAATCATGATGAGAATATTATTTTGAACGGGATGAAGAACTCAATGCGGAATGCAAAGCAAAATTTCAGCATGAATATTTTAGTTCCTTAAGTTCAATGAGTCACAGGTGTCAGATATGTTAAGAGCGTGTCCACGAGAGCACCGGGCAGTCGTGCTACATGCCATCTCACCGATTTCAATGAAACTTTGCCAGTTTAAAGGGTCTACCCCAAAACTCAAAACGACAAACTGGTTTCTGTTTTGGTTTTTTTTTCCGGGGGGAGATAGACCACCCCCCGGTTTTTCTTGGTTTTCACCAAGGAAATCGCTTCAAATAGGTAAAATGTATGAAGCTCTCACTGCGATGGTATTTAACCGATTACTTTGAGGATTTGCACACATATTTTTACATCCTTAGTTAATGTCTGCTGCGAGTATCAGTCAGTTTGATTGACGGCTTGTCAATCAACAGAGGCAAATATACGACTGTGTTTTTAGACTTTTCGATTCATCTAAATATTTTAAAACTTTGAGGTCAAATATCTCCCGTTGCCAGAAAGCTACAACACTAATCCTAATTCCCCTTTATAACCCATCATTTCATCTCTGAAAATCATCAAAAAAATCTTTGGGCACTACCGTATTTTTGTCTTGGATGCCTTTTAAAATCTGCGACTGTGACAAGTTTCTCTCAACTACACCTGTCACGCAATTCTTGCTCTAGGCGGTCACTTGACAAAATAAACCTACATTTTTTAGCTCTTTATACAAGATGATTGATCAAGAAAGGTGAAAAATGTGAAAAACTTTCGAGATTTTTTGTAGGAATGGAAAATTTCACGTTTAGAGAGATGCATGTAAACGAAAAATCAATGGGAAAATCGTAGCGTTTCTTTCTTCAGTCGTTTATTACTTTGAAGATTTGCTAAAATCAGCAGATATGGCTTTTGTACGGCACAAAACATTCATTAGTCTATAATATGATTGTTAATCATCATCATTGCTCATTTTATTTCATGCTGCGTGTTGGTTGATATTACTAATTGTTCCAGTGTGCTACAACTTCGGCTTTTACAGACGAGAAATTCTGCGCTCTCGCTCGAGAGCAAATATCAATAGTTCTATCGGACTAAAAACTGTGCCTCTATCCCGAAAATAAAATTAAAATAGTGTTGACGTTGTCACTTACCGCCATCGAACATTTCCATGCAGAACTCCGCTAAGCTAACATCTGTTGTGTGACCCGAAGACTCTTAGTAGGAATTATTCAAGCGCGTTGTTCATGCTGTCTGCTAGATAACAATTTCAGAATAATCTGCAGATCTCTATGATTATTTGCCTGCTTCGATCGTAAAATATCTGCATATTTTTTTCAAGCATTCTATTACTACATATAAATCTACATCTCTCTAGATCGAGTGTTGCCGGCGTTTAATTGCGTGACTTGTAAAATTTTTAAATAAGAATGAGCCAGCAGTAATTTGACGAGTAGCCTTCCTGCAAATTTCCCTTGATGAAATCCCAAGACATAGCCAGTTGTTTTCGTGAGCAAAGACAATAAATATGAAAGAAAAGTGAGATGCAAATGTCTTTTTTTTTTAGCTTAATAGCAGCTGTACCCTCTCCTGCAGTCTTCGTCTAAATTTTGCAAGGTCCCTCCTTATCTTCTGCCTTGTTCGGTCAGTTTCGAATTCTGAAGCTAGATCATTGGCATCGGCCTCTCCGTCCTCATTCATATTTACAGAGGGGGACCTCATCAATAAACCAATTTTTGTTACGGCAGATAACCGGCTGAAGTATCGAGCGATTTGCTGCTGTATCAACCGGTCAGTCTTAGACAACATTTCTGGCTGGTGTCGTCTCTTAAACTCTCTCGATATTTGGGAAATCACATTAGAGGCGGTTGCCTTACTAGTTTCCTCCCTTGCCCAGCACACGTCTAGGAGATAATTCTCTGCTTTCTGAGAAAAGGTGGCTGTTTTTTGTGTTTTCCAAAGAGCCCATCCAAAGTCCACTTGGCTAGTTAGGGATTGTTCGTCAGAATTTTTACCTGAGGTCCGACCTCGAACGTAGCCGTCCCCTATAGAATGGCAAGCCGGTCTTAGTCCATTTCCTCTTGATCTTATCCTAGGCGGAATTTTTTTGTCGGCTTCACTGTGTTTGTCTTTGTCAGGGTACATTTGGATGGCAGCCAATGACTGAAACGTCTTGATACATCCTTCTTTTAGCAAGAATATCTCGCTTTCTTGTTCCGTCTATGACGGATTGGGTATAGTTCTCGCGATGACCCGCGTTCAGAAATCTGTGCACGTTGCTGATAACCACCCGCTTCTACGACTAGTTTGCTGAAGGTTTCTAATGTGATGAGCCTAGTGAGACCCTGAGGTGCTTCAAACTGTGCCAGTTGGTCTGCGCTATAAACTTGTCGCAGTTCTTAAGTCAGAGGGAGGATCCGCCCACCTCTATCTATGTGAGCGCCTCTACAGTACCTGCGTATCCCTAGCAATCATATGATATAAAGTTCATCTCAGTCACAAATCACCAGTTAGGAAAACTGATGTTCAGATAAGCGCTCTTCTTGCCCTTCTTCCTTATTCATTGTCGACTCTAAGATAGCAGCTACAGTACGCGTTCTATTTAGGTTTACAGTCACCTTGCCGCCACCAGAAAGACTCGCCACCAGCTTTGATTTCTTCTGCCATCTGCAGATTCATCTCTCTCTCACTTTATGTCTCCGATTTTTATGAGGAGGATACTGGCATTTACGAACCCGAAGGTCTGAATCTCACACCAAGTTGTGCACGATATTTGAGGTACATCGTGAAATCGCGGCCTTCGTAATCTCCAAATAAGCCAATACGCGCTAGAATAAGCTCCATCTCGGACGAAACGCATGTTTGGGATACATCGACGTCTCTCAAATGTTTTTTTTTTTTTTAAGCTGTATACCCACGAATTTAGAGGTATGAGCTGTTGCCGTCCCTGGCCAGCGCGAGAAAAGTAACATTTGGTTCTACAGTTAGTTGCAAATGAACAAGACAACTGCACCATCTTGACTTTATCAATTCGAGTGTTAGATTGAATTGAGGGCTTTTTAGACACTCGATTTCTTATATGGCATCACTATGAAGACGTAATACAACTGATACACCTACACTACATAGGATTAACAATGTCTGTTGCGCTGTTGCGAGAAGGAGGAAAATATTACCGGAAGTGTACGCTCTTTTTAAAAAGAGTTTCAGAGACGTTTCAGAGATGTCTATCTTTGATCGGCTGTCACAAAAAAATGACCCCCACTTAAATTTACTAGGAAAAATGAACTTACCAACTCCTTGTTGAAAAAATTGGAATTCATTTGACCGATACGCCGGTTGTTTCAATTTTTCTTTTTCCTCGGGCTGCTATGAAACAGTTCATAAATTGACTAATGAATAAAGTGTTTTGAAATACCGTTCGGGATTTGCCTTTTTTTTTTTCTGCGTGCAAATCAAGGGTAGACAAAGTTTTTAAAACATTTGACTAGAATTTCATGGAGTTCACCTCGATAATTTTCGTCGGCCAGAGTCAAGACGCGCCAAGCTAAGCGACATCGCCCTCCAGTAAAAAAAAATTTTCCAAAGAATAAACGTGGCGAGCGTGAGGAAACGCACATTTTTTTCATCATTGTGATCAAAGCCCAATGATGTACCTAAATTGGTACTTACGGTATCAAACCATTGATTATGACAGGGTGAGCTTAGTTTTTCTGTCGAGGTCGACGTGACTTCACATTAAAAGCATTTTTGACGGAACAAACTAGTGAGCATCACTGCACGAACTGAGAAAGTAAAAACTTGTATTTATCTCCCACGCGTTTCGTCTGACAATAGTAGACTTCATCAAGGATTTTTTCAAGTAGGGTAAATAAGCTTGCTCATATACAAATAGTAAATAAGTTGTCTCTTTACTATTGAAGTCAGTGGATAGAATACGCCAGGTGCGCCTACGGTGTTATACATGCGTGACATTTTCCGGACGTTACATGTACGAGTACGTGATCCGTTTAAGGGTCAAAGATTTAGTGTAAATATTTCACTCCTCAACATCACCCAATGTCTCTAGTTTACAGAGGTCTTAGAACGTTTCATTATATGGAGTTGCCTTCTGCGGGTAGAAGGCTACAAGCGAATTTCTCAGGCGTAATTGCCTTTGATTTCTCAATTGATGTTGTCGCAAACACAGTTTTTGGGAGTCACGAGACAAAAAAACTTATCAGGACCTAGTTTCATGTTCTAATGGAAATAAATAGCAAATAAAAACACATTTTCTTGAGAAATAAAGTCACAAATGACGGGGGTTCTCTGAAACAAATAGTGATAGAAAAGGATTTCAGTTCTGGTCAATATTGACTTTTCATGGCCTACTTCCAAATCTGAGGGAACGTGCTGAGGGAATAAAAAAACATAAATGTGTGATAATGCAAGCAAGAGAATGAAAATACAAATAAAGAAAAAGGAGAAAACATAGGAACCCGTGTTGCAGCGTGCAGATATCTTTTGAACCAGACCTACACACATAAGCCCGACACCAGCCAGAGAAACTCGAAAGAGTCCTGTATATGAACTAGCTCGCACGTGCACGCAGGAAAGGCCATGACAATCAGCGAAAATAATAGCAAATGCAGATGATATTTGCAGTCAAAAAACAGGAAAATAAGATAACAGAAGGATTAGGAACTTTCTAGAAGTGTCTTCTTGAAAAAAAAAGATGAACAATTTTTACTTCTCATAAAAGGTCACGCAGTGACCCTACAAATACTATTCCTATACGTGGAATTTCTTGATGGTGGAAAGTGGAAAAAACATTTTCCAGTCTTATTTTCTGGAAACATGGCGTAGTTAATGAATTTATGGGGCTATTGATATTTCCTAACAAATAAGGGGGGCAGAGTTTCCCGTCATTCGCGGTATGGAAAAGCCGAAGTTGTTACACTCGGGAACTTGTACGTCAACAAGCAGGCGACATGTGACTTTAAAATCTCCTCTCCTGTTACAGTTTCCTTATTGTAAACTGTGCGATAATGATAATAGACGATCAAAGTATAGGCTAATGAATGTTTTGTTCTGTACAAGAGCCCTATGTCCTGATTTTAGCAAATCTTCAAAGTAATAAACGACTGAAGAAAGAAACGCTACGATTTTCCCATTGATTTTCCGTCAACATGCATCTCTCTAAACGTGAAATTTTCCATTCCTACAAAAAATCTCGAAAGTTTTTCACATTTTTCACCTTTCTTGACCAATCATCTTGTATAAAGAGCTAAAAAATGTAGGTTTATTTTGTCAAGTGACCGCCTAGAGCAAGAATTGCGTGACAGGTGTAGTTGAGAGAAACTTGTCACAGTCGCAGATTTTAAAAGGTATCCAAGACAAAAATACGGTAGTGCCCAAAGATTTTTTTGATGATTTTCAGAGATGAAATGATGGGTTATAAAGGGTAATTAAGATTAGTGTTGTAGCTTTCTGGCAACGGGAGATATTTGACCTCAAAGTTGTAAAATATTTAGATGAATCGAAAAGTCTAAAAACACAGTCGTATATTTGCCTCTGTTGATTGACAAGCCGTCAATCAAACTGACTGATACTCGCGGCGGCCATTAACTAAGGATGTAAAAATATGTGTGCAAATTCTCAAAGTAATCGGTTAAATACCATCGCAGTGAGAGCTTCATACATTTTACCTATTTGAAGCGATTTCCTTGGTGAAAACCAAGAAAAACCGGGGGGTGGTCTATCTCCCCCGGAAAAAACCAAAACAGAAACCAGTCTGTTTTTTTGAGTTTTGGGGTAGACCCTTTAAACTGACAAAGTTTCATTGAAATCGGTGAGATGGCATGTAGCACGACTACCCGGTGCTCTCGTGGACACGCTCTTAAGTCACTATCTAGCTGTTTTAAAAAGAAGGATCAGGACTTACCTAACTTTTAGTGTTTTTGTGGGAGTTGTTGATCCCAATTTAAGTGTTCTTAGAAGTTTCAGTTGTCTGTAAAGCTAAATAAATCTAACTGAAACCTAATAGGGCCTGTTTATTCTTTTCCGTTTAGTTTTTTTGTATTGTTTTGTTTTGTCTTTTTTTTTTCTTCTGGTCTGTAATGATTTCAATGGTTTCAGGTTCTTTTCTCAGAATTGAGCTACAGTAATAGTATGCTTCTTTGTGTTGTTGCCTACAGGAGCCACTGCTTGTGTTGAATTGAAGAGATTTGAAGAAGCAATCACTTGGTGTGATAAGGGACTAGCTGTATCCTTTGAAGGAATCTTTCATTTTTAACCGTGGGTATAATGGAAAAAAGTTTCCATAATTTGATGTTTCAAGGGAGAAAATACAAAGAAGGGTATTAATTATGATGGGAACTTGTCAGCTCATATACTTTAAGTGTGTGTGATTAAAAACATAGGAGAAGTTATTACCTCATGACTTATTAATGAAATTACTCCTTTTAGCCAATTTGACTTAGTTCTACTATCCATGCCAATAACTGGTACATTAGTTTAAATAACCCTTTAATTTCCCAGACCAAATTTGTAATTATCCTTACTGTCAACCATACAATTCTTGTAATGTTAGTACAGAGAATTCAGTATTGCATCAACTAACTATTTTTAAATTGATATATTTTTTTTTACTCTCAACACTTATCTGATTGATATTGTATTGCTATTGTAAGGAGAAATTCTCTTTTGGTCACTCACGGGAGTTAAAGGGTTAGAAGACTAATATTCATCCAGTTTATACATAGTACTTGGGTAGATGATCTCTCTAAAACAAGCCAGAACAAAAAGCTCTTTAATGTTTACATATCTTATGCAGATTTTCTGCCTTCGACCTTTTGCCTCTACTTAGAGACTCAGAAACTTTCGTTGTGCTTTCCTATGGACAAATAAAAATTTTAAAGATATGTATTTATTTTATGTATTTTTGTTTTTTCCACATTTTTAACCCTTAACATAAAAAAGATTGACAAAAACAAAGATCTTGTCGTCATTAAGACTTCAGTCTGTCAGTGAAGTGGGAGATAAGTCCATGGAGGAAAAAGATCCTATTAGTCATGACCACGGTAGTGCAAGTTCAGGTGATGTCAAGAAAGTCATAGATCTCTATAATCAGGGAAAAGAAGCCATAGAGTACCACAACCTACATCTTAAAATAGCTAAAGAAGTAGGAGACAAGCATGGGGAGGGTAACGCTTATGGCAATCTTGGCAATGCTTATCACCGTCTGGGTGATTTCAAAAAAGCCTTAGAGTACCACAACCTAGATCTTAAAATAGCTAAAGAAGTAGGAGACAAGCATGGGGAGGGTGGTGCTTATGGCAATCTTGGCAATGCTTATGGCCGTCTGGGTGAATTAAAAAAAGCCAAAGAGTACCACAACCTACATCTTAAAATAGCTAAAGAAGTAGGAGACAAGCATGGGGAGGGTGGTGCTTATGGCAATCTTGGCAATGCTTATCACCGTCTGGGTGATTTCAAAAAAGCCATAGAGTACCACAACCTACATCTTAAAATAGCTAAAGAAGTAGGAGACAAGCATGGGGAGGGTAACGCTTATGGCAATCTTGGCAATGCTTATGCAGTCTGGGTGATTTCAAAAAAGCCATAGAGTACCACAACCTACATCTTAAAATAGCTAAAGAAGTAGGAGACAAGCATGGGGAGGGTTGTGCTTATGGCAATCTTGGCAATGCCCATTGCAGACTGGGTGATTTCAAAAAAGCCATAAAGTTCCTCATCCTAAGTCATAAAATAGCTAAAGAAGTAGGAGACAAGCATGGGGAGGGTGGTGCTTATGGCAATCTTGGCAATGCTTATTTTAGTCTGGGTGATTTCAAAAAAGCCATAGAGTACCACAACCTACATCTTAAAATAGCTAAAGAAGTAGGAGACAAGCATGGGGAGGGTCGTGCTTATGGCAATCTTGGCAATGCTTATTACCGTCTGGGTGATTTCAAAAAAGCCATAGAGTACCACAACCTACATCTTAAAATAGCTAAAGAAGTAGGAGACAAGCATGGGGAGGGTGGTGCTTATGGCAATCTTGGCAATGCTTATCAAAGTCTGGGTGATTTCAAAAAAGCCATAGAGTACCACAACCTACATCTTAAAATAGCTAAAGAAGTAGGAGACAAGCATGGGGAGGGTGTGCTTATGGCAATCTTGGCAATGCTTATCACCGTCTGGGTGATTTCAAAAAAGCCATAGAGTACCACAACCTACATCTTAAAATAGCTAAAGAAGTAGGAGACAAGCATGGGGAGGGTGGTGCTTATGGCAATCTTGGCAATGCTTATTTAGTCTGGGTGATTTCAAAAAAGCCATAGAGTACCACAACCTACATCTTAAAATAGCTAAAGAAGTAGGAGACAAGCATGGGGAGGGTGGTGCTTATGGCAATCTTGGCAATGCTTATCACAGTCTGGGTGATTTCAAAAAAGCCATAGAAGAGTACCACAACCTACATCTTAAAATAGCTAAAGAAGTAGGAGACAAGCATGGGGAGGGTGGTGCTTATGGCAATCTTGGCAATGCTTATCACCGTCTGGGTGATTTCAAAAAAGCCATAGAGTACCACAACCTACATCTTAAAATAGCTAAAGAAGTAGGAGACAAGCATGGGGAGGGTGGTGCTTATGGCAATCTTGGCAATGCTTATCACCGTCTGGGTGATTTCAAAAAAGCCATAGAGTACCACAACCTACATCTTAAAATAGCTAAAGAAGTAGGAGACAAGCATGGGGAGGGTGTTGCTTATGGCAATCTTGGCAATGCTTATCACCGTCTGGGTGATTTCAAAAAAGCCATAGAGTACCACAACCTACATCTTAAAATAGCTAAAGAAGTAGGAGACAAGCATGGGGAGGGTGGTGCTTATGGCAATCTTGGCAATGCTTATCACCGTCTGGGTGATTTCAAAAAAGCCATAGAGTACCACAACCTACATCTTAAAATAGCTAAAGAAGTAGGAGACAAGCATGGGGAGGGTAAAGCCTACGGTAATATTGGTCGTATGTATGAAACTGAGGGCAATGCTTATCACCGTCTGGGTGATTTCAAAAAAGCCATAGAGTACCACAACCTACATCTTAAAATAGCTAAAGAAGTAGGAGACAAGCATGGGGAGGGTGGTGCTTATGGCAATCTTGGCAATGCTTATTACCGTCTGGGTGATTTCAAAAAAGCCATAGAGTACCACAACCTACATCTTAAAATAGCTAAAGAAGTAGGAGACAAGCATGGGGAGGGTCGTGCTTATGGCAATCTTGGCAATGCTTATTTTAGTCTGGGTGATTTCAAAAAAGCCATAGAGTACCACAACCTACATCTTAAAATAGCTAAAGAAGTAGGAGACAAGCATGGGGAGGGTGTTGCTTATGGCAATCTTGGCAATGCTTATTTAGTCTGGGTGATTTCAAAAAAGCCATAGAGTACCACAACCTACATCTTATAATAGCTAAAGAAGTAGGAGACAAATCCTCGGAGGCAATGGCCTACTGTTCATTAGGATTGGTTTTTGAGTTACAAGGTAGACTGCCAAAAGCCGTTGAACATTACCAAGCTAGCATAAACTTATTCAATTCCTTGAGAGTACTTCTAATATCTAAAGATGAGTGGAAAGTTAATTTTCGAAATCAGCATCAAGTGGCGTATACGGGTTTGTGGAGAGTTCTCGTAGAACAAGGTAATGTAGATGAAGCCTTATTTGTTGCTGAGAAAGGACGAGCTCAAGCTCTGACCGACCTCATGGAATCCAGTTTTTGTGGTGGAACAAGTCACCACAAGGGAGAAGATGAAGATTGCGCAGTTTTAAAAAACGTTCCATCAAACACTGTCTTTCAGGCAGTGGACAAAGCTAACGTCAATCTTTGGGTTGTGTCCGAAGGAAAACAAGTTCAGTTAAGACAAAGTAAACTCAAAGGTTTTGTTTCAGAGAATAGTGGATCTAGCCTGTCCTTTGAGTCGTTCATGCTCGGTGTCTATACACAACTTGGTGTTCGTTCTAATGTGAGATGCGAGAATCGATCTTTAGATGCTTTGAGGGAGGGCCGTTCAAAAGTGGATGAGAAAACCAAAGAAGCCAAGCCTCAACCTCACATCCAACAAGACGGATGCTTGAGCACTTTGTATGATATCGTTATGAAGCCGGTGGCTGACTTGATTGAAGGGGATGAGCTACTCATTATTCCTGATGGACCCCTGTGGATCGCTCCTTACGCTGCATTGAAGGATGGTAATTCTAAATACCTGTGTGAATCGTTCACAATCCGAGTCGCTCCATCGTTAGCAAGTCTTAGACTCATTGCCGATTGCCCAGATGATTATCACAAAAGCAGTGGTGCGTTACTTGTAGGAGATCCGTGGGTATCCGAGGTTACTAACAGCGAGGGAAAGAAAGTCTTCGAGCAGCTTGAGTATGCTAAAAAAGAAGTAGAAATGATCGGAAAAATTCTGAATATCACGCCAATCACTGGCAGTCAGGCCACGAAACGTGAGGTGTTGAAAAGACTCAGTTCCGTTTCCCTAGTTCACTTTGCGGCACACGGATGTATGGAAACTGGCGAAATTGCTCTTACACCTGACCCAGACCGAATATCTACTGTGCCAACGGAGGAGGATTACATTTTAACAATTGGAGATGTGTTGAATGCTCAACTTCGGGCCAAACTTGTTGTGCTTAGTTGCTGCCACAGCGGCCGGGGCGAGATCAAGGCTGAAGGTGTGGTTGGCATTGCGCGCGCTTTTATGGGGGCTGGTGCTCGGTCTATTGTGGTGTCCCTGTGGGCGATTGATGACGAGGCTACTCTTGAGTTCATGAAATACTTTTATCAACAACTTGCAGGAGGTAAACCAGCAAGCGAGTCACTGAACCTGGCCATGAAAAGCCTCAGAGAATCAGACAAGTTCTGCGACATCAAACACTGGGCGCCCTTTTTGCTGATTGGAGATGACGTCACTCTTGACTTCATGGCAAAGGAAAGAGAAAATTTGAATATGAAATCACATAAATGAAAACTTTTTATTTCATCTCAAAATGAATGACGCAGGAACTTGGAAGGTTTAAATGCTTCTCTATTTTGGCGCTTTTTGGCTATTTTTCATTACTTTTCACTTTTTTGTTAAATGGAACTTGAGATGTGTGACTTTACTTTGGTGAAGAAATAAAACAGACTATTTCAGTATATTTTGTTCAGTGGAATTGCTATTTTTTTACCTTTACAAATTTAGATGCTTGCGAAGAGAACAAGATGCAACAAGGCTTCTGCTGTTAATGCCTGAAGTTGTTGAAGGCGACTACGAGGTTTTCGTTTCGCCAAAATGACACTCAGATCTATTCCTTTATTGCAATCAGTTATGTGTAAAATAATTTAAAGGTTTTTTTCTTGTACACAACCAGGAGCTTGTCCACCGGGTTTTAATTACGTTGATACTCTAAGCTTTTGATAAGCAAAGAAACAGTTTGTCATTTGCAAAAGGTGGCGAAATTTTAATTTCAAAAATGTGATTTGCAAAATTCGCAGCCATATGTGAATTGATCTTAATGGTTTTTCTACGTCATAAATTACTTTGTTGCAATTTGCAATTATCTTTACAAAAAAATTGATTATCATTTTCAACTTTTTTTCAATCCATTTTAATGCAATCTAATTCCATCAGTGCCAAGATTGCCATTCTAAGCTTAATTTGAAGAAGTAATCATCAGAGATGATGTTGTTGAATTTACTGACCATATGTTAGAGACATTAGACCTACTCTCAGGGGTGTGGCCAGCCTCTAGTCCCGTGGGCCCGGCCTACAATTGTTTTCCGCCCGCTTGACTTTTCTAATA